AAGAATTTGACAAAAGATGACATACTTTTAATAAAGTTAGAGAAGTCAAATATCACCTCGTAATGGGAAAGCTACTTTTTGATAAAATTTTGGATTATTGATTAGAAGGTGCTCCTAAAATTTTGAACGTGCTCCTACATTTTTAAAGTTAGGAGCACAAGTGCTCCTAAAAAGAAAAGTAAGCGTAGAGCCCTGTATATGCTATGCAAATTCAACGTCAAAATGAACTCTATTCATATTCTAAAAATCACATTTTTGTTTTTATTGGGAATGATTAATCTATGCATATTGTAGAAAGGGGAACAATGCTATCTTTAAAGGGGTCATATGATGCTTTTTTAAAGATCATTATTTTGTGTATTTGGTGTAACAGAATATGTTGACATGTTTTGAAATAACCTGTTCTTCCTCTGAAATGACTTTCTTTTTAAGGTTTCATTTTTCTTTTCAAGATCTAATCAATTCCTCACAAAAAAAAGCCATGTAATGCGCTACCTTTTTTTTTATTGAACGTACATGTAAACCCATTTTACTTTCTTAATTTCATATACTTTAAAAGTGAAACATAAACTGCAACAGCATCAACCATATATAAACACATTTTTATACAGTGACCTATGCGGTTGTTGAATTTTCTTTATCATGCTGAAATTAAGGAAGTAAAATGGGTTGCAAACAAAACTGACTTAAAAAAATGAAAGCAAAATAACCTCTTCTATCTTTGAATATGTGACCCTGGACCACAAAACCAGTCTTAAGTAGCACGGGTATATTTGTAGCAATAGCCAACTAGACATTGTATGGGTCAAAATTGTCTATTTTTCTTTTATGCCAAAAATCATTAGAATATTAAGTAAAGATCATGTTCCATGAAGATATTTTGTAAATGTCCTACCATAAATATATCAAAACTTAATTTTTGATTAGTAATATGCATTGCTAAGGACTTCATTTGGACAACTTTAAAGGTGATTTTCTCAATATTTTGATTTTTTTGCACCCTCAGATTCTAGGATTTCAAATAGTTGTATCTCAGTCAAATATAGTCCTACCCTAACAAACCATACATCAGTGGAAAGCTTATTTATTTTTTTAAAATTGACCCTCATGACTGGCAAATTACACTGATAAAGACACTGAAATATCAAAACCACAAAAAAAAAGTTGTTTACCAAAATACATAACTGCACTTACTTGGCATGTAGCAAGGGGTCAAATGGGGGATGTTGGGCTCCATAAACATGCTGGATACTGTGAAAAAGAATAAGTGATAAGATGGATGTTTATAGGAAAAATCTTTATTTTTAACTCCCCATCATTATTTAGATGATATGAAAACTGGTTTGACAAGTCGAGAAGTGATGAAGCAAAACTACAAAACACAACTGAGTTATTAGATATTTTTAATTTGTCACGTGTGTGTATCCACATTATATACACACTACTTTAGTTATGAAGTTTTATAAAGTTGCTTTTGTTGCCAACACTACTTAAAACACACCATAGTACTACTATGGTCTTATTTTAAGTACCATGTAAAAAGCATGGTATGTGAATACAATAATCATGCAGTATAATGGTATATATCAAAATACTACAACTAATGTAGTGATATTATCATTGTACCAATCTGCACTTGTCTGTAAGTGTTGTCAAAAGAGGGGCCCAGCAGCCCATAGCTAACAGGCTAACACATGACTTTATGAACTAAACTATTAACACAGAGCTTTGATCGATATAACAGATATTATCACCACATACCCATTAATCAAAGGGCACAAGTCAGTGTTAGAAAAATATAATTATGATGATATAAACTTAATACATCTTCACTGACATCAATCTATGCAGGGAGGTGTACAGCTAGCACACGTCACATTAAAAGACAGTTAAAAACAGCCTAAAGAAGATCAGATTTGAGTGACACGTGTTATTCTGAATACTTCGAGCTCCTCCGGTGAGATCTGGCGTTGAAAGATATTGTTCAATTAATTGCATCTATAATTAAACACATATAAATACACACACAGAGCTAACACATAGACATTAGCATGAACACGTCACTCACTTCCCAGGAACCTTGGATGTGTTTCTCTTCCAGAACTGTTTTTTGCTGCCGTCACCTGACATCTTTTGGCTTCAGAGTACTCGCTCATAAATGAAAGTGGCGAAATAAGCTGATAAGTTGTGCAAAATGTGCACGAAGAGTTTATTTACACCTCAATTTCTCTTCGCAAACTCAGAGAGCCGCCATGTTGGTGCCGCCCACCGCACATTAGCGCGGCTGTGATTGGTTAAGGGGCCTCATGAGTGACGGCTGAACAGCCAATCACAAATGGAAGTTTCTCCACGCCTCCTTTAGTTCCCTCACAGGCCTGTTAAAATGCTTGATGTTGTCTGTAAAGGAATGTTTAAACATAAAACACAAGAGGATGTTCACTAAATAAAACAATAAACAGCACAGCATTGGAATGATAAAGAAACGTCAAAAGAGTTTTTAATAACAATATTATTACATATTTTCAAAATATTGTTGAGATGCCTTAAAATGTAGCTTATGATCGCAGAATTTGCACTTATGTATGTGAAATGTGGAGAAGTGACAGATTTATGAGATAAGACCCTTTTTCAGTAGGCCTACTATTTTTTATCTAGATCAATAAAATCAAACAACACATCTTTCCAAAATAAAGAAAACCGAAAGTACACAAAATCAGTCACACTTCTAAAAAAAAAAAAAACAACTCTCCCAAAATTATTTTATGTAATAACAGTACCAAAATAAATGTACAACAGTTTCGCCTTGCCTAATTATGACACAACTTGTGTCATTGTCATATGTAAATTTCTTTAAGTAGGCTAACTATTTCCTGAGTAGAATGAATTACGGTAATTAGAAAGATACTTAAAAGATACAATAAGGTATTAATGTGGCAAATAAAGCACAATGTTGACGGCACTGGTCGCTTTTTTTCCATATAATGAATATGAATGAGGAAACCCCCTATACCACTACTTTGGAGAACTGAGAAGAAAAACTTCTGCTTTGCTTCTTCATGTCAATACATTTATTGAAGTAATACTGCTTGCACTTAAAGGAGTCCACCGTGGTGATAGCTAATAGCAAGAACATTATATTATATTACATTATTACATTGTTATATTATATTATTATTATTATTATATTATATCCATTAGCCTATATAACATAAGATGTACAGTATACAAGTTCAATACATTAAATATATGATGGAAGAAAACTGTTCTAGACGTTTTAATATTTTATAATATATATAAATTGACATATTGCATGCAATATATACCGTCCGAGTGGCATAATATGTCATATGTAATATAACTTTGTAAACAAAATAGTGTAGATCCCTAATTAACTAACAGTGCCACAGTAAATTAATAAACAAACAAACAAACAAAGTATGCCAATCACTCACGATATCGCACCTCCTACAATAGGATTGTGTGTGACGCACATCTCTCTGGCTCCACCCACTTTATCAGGAAAGAGAAAACCGCTATATAGCCAAGCTGCTTAGGAGAAGACGAGCAACATTGTAGCGACTGTAGTATTTTTATAATAATGTAAAGCGTCGGGGCGGTATAGTATAAACTCGTTTTGAAGATGAAAGTGCGATAGCTAGTGTGTATTTGTTGTTAAGAGCAGAAATGGAGAAGCAGTCGCGTCTGTTGTGTTCTGAGCTGTGTGTTCAGCGCAGACTGTATGAGGTCACATTAAACTGCGCGATTCTCGCGTGGAAAGACATACAAATCGCCAAAAAACACACCGGACGCGCCATATATGGAGCCGTCAAAGCGGGTGAGTTACATATCTAATACAATAATAACACTATAACATATACAACACGGTACGCTGCTGCTGTTATTTGTTCTAGTGGTGTGTGTCTCAAAACTGACTCGCGCTCCTAGAAGACCGTAGTTTTAGGCATCCTATGTAGCCTACAGTATGTACAGAGAAACACATAACGCAGCATTTTTGACCAGCTAACTATGATGACCCAAAAAGATACTGACTGGATGGCGTCTTTGATGCCCAAAAACACTGCTGACTCTGAACATGTCAGTGGTGCCCAAAAGGATGCTGATTGAAAGACGTCTATGATTCTCAACAATGACTAAACACTACTGACTAGATATCTGAATATGTAGTAGGCCTATATATCTGAATTGGAATGCTTCTGTGGTGCTCAAAAGCAATGTTAATTTGTAACATTATATAGGATGTCTGGATAAACCCTGCTGACTCAAAACACATAAATAATGCCTAGAAATACTGTGTTGTATGATGAACATTATGCATTCGGAAATAAAGGTCTATGATGTCCAAAACACCACTGACTCTGGACATGCTTATAATGCCAAGAAAACTCTGCGCAGAATCTATGACATCCCAAAATGCATTATGATGTTCAGAAATGAGCTTCTAAAATTTCTGGGATTCCCAAAAAATGCTGCGTTTTGTGCACAATTGTATGGTGGCCAAAAATCCTGCTTACTCAGAACTCCTCTGAGGCCTAAACATGCTGTGTGGCCTATGCATGCTCATATGATGCCCTGTCTGCTAGCAGTTCACTAAGTTTTGAATTACAGCCATAAAAAAAATGAATTTTTTTCCACTCTTTTCTAGAACACTGTAAAAAAAAATGTTTTAACTTAAAATAATTTGTTACCTCGCTGACTAAAATTGTTTAGTTTAGTCAAATTTTGTGTTACTTAATGTTATGTGACAACTTGGATATTTTAGTTACAGTGTTACATTTTAGTTAAATTTTTTTACAGTGAATGTTATGTAAAGTATCATGTGACCAGATGAGTTTCTTTACAGAATATTTGTTTCTGTTCCTGGTGGGAACAGAGCACACACACACATACACTGTTGTGTGTGTAAAACAGTAGTTAAGTTGTGTATAAAGAGTGTGTGAAGCGTTCTCAGACTGTGCTGAAAGGTCAGAGAGGTCACTGATAATCTTGAGGAATTGGATAGTGTGTTTCCACCTGTCTGCTGCACACACTCTACTGTTCTGTCCTCTCATTGCTGCGGGTCTATGGTTGGGATTGTTAATGAGTCTGTAGACGTCTGTCATGAATTGTCATAAATGAACTTCCAGGTTTGGGTTGTTAATTAGTTATTTGTGTAACATTGTTTTCTGAAAATCACTCACATTTAACTGGAACCTTTTCAGAAGAAGAGAGTGACCACAAATTATATGCTAGACAAACGGTATTGTGCGTATTATCACAGTTAGAACAGGGTCATTCTGTGTCAACTCAACCAGAGGCTCAAATTTTTGAATTTGCTAATATTTTTTCTGAAGAAAGATAAACATGTATAGTGATGAAAGCCAAAATATTAAATGACGTGGTTGAATATTTACTAAGTAATCCACTATTTTGTAGAGGGGGGGTCAAAATGGCAATTTTCACCTGAGATTCAGAGCCAAATTACAGGGGGTTAAAAATGACTTCAGAAAGATGGCAGCATCATTATGTTGCTTTTACACAGAGATTGGTAGGTCTATTAGTAAAATCTGTTGACTTTAGCAATCTTTGTTGCATTATGTCCCAATGGTGACCATTCAAAAATGGGGAAAGAGCACTTTTCAAGTTTTCTTCTCCAAAGTTTGCAGGCCTGTAACTCCAAAAGTATTAAAGATATCTTAATGCCCATATATAAGACCCCCATATCTCTGGGACTGAATGATGTAGGGCCTTGAAAATGAAGGCTCCAAAAGAAACGTTTATTAAGAACTAGAATCTAAAACCATATTGCAATATCTTTAATACTTCTTGAGTTACAGGCAGGCAAACTTTGTGAAAAGAATATACACAGTATGGCACTCAGACAGGTATGTTCAATGCAGTTGTTCTGACAGAAGGAAGCAAGATACATTTCTAGTTTAAACATTATTTGTTCTTCAGATATTGCTCTTTAAAAGAAAATAAGTGTCTTTTTTTTTTTTTTTTTTAAGTGACCCACATTTGGTTTTTGACCACTGAAAATGTGTACAGTTTAATGATTGATCCTGGGGCCATATGGAAATTCCAATATCTCTGGAACCGAACAATATAGGGCCTTAAAAATGAAGATGCCAAAAAGGAAGTTTGATGAGACCCAATATCTTAAAGGGCATTAAGATATCTTTAATATTTTTTAGAGTTACAGGCCTGCAAACTTTGGAGAAAAATACTTGAAAAGTGCTCTTTCCCCATTTTTGAATGGTCACCATTGGCACATAATGCAACAAAGACAGCTGAAGTCAACAGATTTTACTAATAGACCTACCAATCTCTGTGTAAAAGCAACATGATGCTGCCATCTTTCTGAAGTCATTTTTAACCCCCTGTAATTTGGCTCTGAATCTCAGGTGAAAATTGCCATTTTGACCCCCCTCTACAAAACAGTGGATTACTTAGTAAATATTCATCCATGACATTTTCATCACTATACATGTTTATCTTTCTTCAGAAAAAATGTTTAAAGAACCACCATTAGTTAAATATTGCTAATAGCCAAGAATAAAGCTTACACAAAAATCACAACCTTGCAATTAAAAAAAAATGGCAGATGAACTGACTGGGTATTTCATTTGATAATCCTAGTTATTGATAATCTTCAAGGATCTTATGTATGCTTGCTGTAAACTGTTGCTATATGTAAAAGCAGCATAAAGATTCTGCTTAAAATCCAGTGTTCCAAGCCTTACAGGTTTGTAACAACATGAGTGTGAGTGGATGATATCTTGTTTAAAAAAAAAAAAGAAAAGAAAAAAGGGTCGTTTCAATATACTTGACCTTTTAAAACGGTCCATGTAATAGAACCATGAACTCCACATAAATATTAAGTTCAAAACTAATCCAGGTTTTGAAACTGTTTCACCTGAGCCAGACCTTCGCCCATGCCGTGGATACATTATACATCTGAGGAGAAGTTGAGAACTGGGTGACCTCCAGTACTAAGATCCATTACACAAAGCCGACTTTTATTTAAAGGTCTTGATGGATATTTTCCTCGGGGCCATGACACATTAAATGAAGTTTCCACCCTGCTTAAGGTAGTTCAAGGTATTCTGATCATATTTTTTTCCAAGCACGTTTTACCAATTCCAAACGACATCAATCTTAATAATACTACTAATCTTGTATTTAATCATTTATCATTTATATATAATTATTCATGAAGGCTGGAAGTAAAAAATGTCTTACATTCAGGTGTGCATAATTATTAAGCCGATTTTCTTTTACAGATAAAATGAGCCAAAAAAAGAGATTTAACTAGACTGAAAGTCAAAAATTATTAAATGTAGAACTGCAACCTACCTATAGTCTCCAGAAGTATAATGTGTCAGGTTCTCAGAGACTTTGGTTAAGTATAGAATCAGAAAATGACCCCTACTTAATAAGAACCACATACTGAAGTGTAGTAAAATACTTGAAGACTGATTTTTTTTAATAGGCTTTATAGACCGATAAGTTGAGAGTGACTCTTGAAGGACCATCACCGTATCCTCTTGTACCACTGTTTGAAGAATTTATCTTCCAGAATCTGGCAGTAAGCAGAATATCAACTTGCATAATAATTATGCATGCACTGTACAGTATTTTCCCTTTTCCGCTGTCATCAGCAATGCAAGGAATGTTGTGATTGGTTGTCAAGGCAGCCAATCAGAATTTAGCAGCCTCGTCTCTGATTGCCCGGAATTATGGCATATATGATCTTTCGTGCGCAGAATTGTGGCAGAGATCTAATCCTATAAATAAACGCCTGGTCCCAAACTCATATCTCCATGGTAACAGATGCCTGGAAGGACATGAGTAATATTCCGCAACATGATCCACATCAGGATCCATAGGTAATGCATATGGTCTTGGATTCAAGTCGTTGACATACTTTTGAGGTTTCCTCTAGCCTAGTGCAGCTCTCTAGCTTTTAATTGGTGGCTCAAGTGATGTCATAATTGTGGTAAGCACAACTGCAATCTCAGTTTCTTGCCATATTAATAACAAGCATGCCTGGGAGGTATGACTGGCACATTATTTAAAGGGGAAATCCCTTTTTCATTAGCAGAGTTTGTCACACGAAGTTCTGTGAAATGGTAGAAATATGTCAGTCAGTATGAATTTGTACCATTTATACTGTGGTTTTAATTTAATTATCTTAAAGATTTTATATTTTTCTATGCAAATTCTATGCCGGGTAGTACACTTAGGTTTTTGGAAGTTTTTGGCAAGACGCCAAGCCGTATTTGACTAAACTCGGTTTGTGGACACTTGTAGTTCTACATGCCTTGCTGTTTTGTGTGATGTTAGTCTCATAATTATAAAAATCCTCCCTTTAAATGTTTAATGCTTATCAGATCTGAAACTATGTTGCCTTTCAAATGTAACATCATATCAGTTTGAAGAAGAATGAGATTAGTAGTTGAGTATATGAGTGTAGTTATTACTATTTAAGTCATCACTCAGTTTAATTCAACTTTTTTTGTATAGCACTTTTCCCAATAAATATTGTTTCAAAGCAGCTTCACAAAAGTGCTTTGAATACAATCAGGAAGTAATTGGTTAATTGGTCAGAAATGAGTGTCGGAGTATTATCCATGTGGGACTAGTATTCGGGTTATATGGCTAGTTATGTATTTAGTTAAGTACACATAATGAATATGTTAGGCAATGATTACAATAAAGATGTGCATATGCGTGCACTTAGAGCATGTGGAGGGTATATAGCCTCAGATTGTTGCATCATTGAGCCATCTTTTGGAAGGACATGTGGTGTATTTGGCAGGGTGAGAGCTGCGATATAACAGTCAAGGACCCCTGGAATGTCAACTATTGTTCAGTGGTATTTCCTCTATCCTCATTGAGTTTACTGCCTCTGTTTAACACAATTACTATAGTTAACAGAAATGAGAACAAATCAGAACATTTTATGTAATCGGATGTGTGTCTGCATTGTTTTTTGATGTAATCACATGCAGGGTGATTGCAGGAGAATTATAGTGGAAATGAATGAAATGAGGCGAACAGATTGTAAATGATCAGATCAAAAGAATGTGTTTTGTTTATAGGAAAAACTGATGAAGTAAATACAGGTGCATCTCAATAAATTAGAATGTCGTGGAAAAGTTCATTTATTTCAGTAGTTCAACTCAAATTGTGAAACTCGTGTATTAAATAAATTCAATGCACACAGACTGAAGTAGTTTAAGTCTTTGGTTCTTTTAATTGTTTCCATTTTCTCAATTTTTTAAATTATACTGTTGACTGCATTCATCAAGCATTCAACACTGCAATTCAAACCTTTTAACAAATGTATTGTAAATGATCAAATAAATATGTTTACTGTATTCTTTAATTTATGGGAAATAAACATTGCATAACTCCAAATCAACATTTGGTGCAAAAATAGTTAGACACTAACTTGATTTAGGCTAAATCTTCAACCCTCTTTTAACCCTATACCTGGCAGATTTCTCCCCCGCCTAAATTATGTAATTTAAAATCCTCCAACCAAAGATTTCATTAATATATTTGTTTATTTTGAATGTTTTATTTCATATATATATTTTTAAAATGACACAAGGTTTTAAACTATTCCAGTCCAAATTTTTGCAAGTGTTGCAAAAATTGCAATAAAATGTTAGGAAATGAACATTCTTTATAAAATAAAACAGCACATGTATGTATTATGTATTTTATATAATATGAATTATGAATTTTTTTCTTCTTTTTTTTCTGGGGTGAAATCCAGTCATTTCGATAGGAATCCAATCAGGTATTTCACATCCGGGAAAACGGTTTTTCACATCAGGCAAAAACAAGTTCAAGTTAGTCACACAGATTCTTCATACTGACCAACAGAATTTTGCTTTGTGAAGAATTTCACATTTAGCTTTAAGAATTTCAAACCGCCTGCTTTCTACCCTTTTACACTTCAAATACACTGTCATAAAAAGCCAGGTTTTTTTTTTTTTTTTTTTTTTTTTTTTTTTTTTTTTTTTTTGTTATTTTGAGTGTTAGTCACTTTCAGGTGTTGATGGTTTGTATCTCTAGGTGATTTTTTAATGTCAGTAGGAAACTGCATTCACAACCAAGTTCACTCACATTGTGCCATATATTTGAGTGAAACTGGCTATCCAACAAGAAAAGTTTTGGACAGGAGTTGATTTTACCATGATGAATTGAATGGCTGAAGATGATTTAAAAGAGAGATACATGACGGCTGAAAAGAAAATCATTTCAGAGTAGAATATTCAATGTAGAATATTACATTATAAGATCTTTTATTTTAATGTAACTTCAGACTGTTATGATACTATGATTATTTACTTATTTTATTTTATTGTGCTGGGTTGGATGGAAAGGAGCTGTGTAAACCGTATACTTATTTCTGTACTTTTTTTTTTTTCCTTTTTTTTTTTGGTTAGTGGATGCTAAACATAGACCAAGAAAACTAAGAATAAATGCAACAGGAATTAAGTCCCTTATGAACTCTATAACTCTACTACGTCACCTTTACATTTCAGCTTTTTGCCTCATGCAGTATTCATGTGTTATACAATAACTCCCTAATACAAATATCATGAAACTTTTATCAGGTTGTTGTTTCCATGTTATTATGCTGTTAAGTTTATGGCTACATATGGGCATATGAATTGTTTCATTAAGCTGTATAAAAAGGAAATACACTTGTTATGTCTCATAAATGTGTCATGAAGTTTTAATGAAGATAAATCATTACTCTAAGTTTATCTGGGTAATAAGTAAAGTTTCTGAAGCAGTGCTTTATTCTAATCCACATAACTCTCTGATCTTTTGAATAAGGTCAAACCTCATTAACTTCCTCTCCCATGGGGTTTTCTGGAAAGTCTGCATTATGTAACATAACACAAGATTGACTCATTTGGGCACAAGCTGTCAGAATGCAAAAACCTCCTTTGCTTAGAGATATTTTCCCTAGCACAGAGACAGAGATGATGGAAACTGACATTTGCATAGTGTCTTATAGCAAAGCAAACAAAATGAAGCAGTCGACATCACCAAAACTCACATTTTGCAAACTCAAGCCTCTAAAGCATGTTCTGTAATAATGTACAAAATCAGAAAAAAAAAACAAGACGGCAGATTATTTGAGAGAAATGTTGACTGTAATATCCTTCTGAAAAAAACTAAAAGGCATCATTGTCTATAGTATCAATTATTTAAGGTGTATCAGTTAATTTGTTTATTCAGCTCATTGTCTAAAAATACTGCCGACTGAACTTAATTGATCTTGATATGACTTTTTAATTGTGAATAATTTGTGTTGGATAAATCCAAATGCTGAAAATCAAATGATTGTTTTTGATTAAGTTTTGATTAAATGACTGAGTTGGTAGTCACCACATTTTTAGACACATTTTCAGTGAGACTCATAGCCTCCTTTCCATTATTAAATAGGATATCTACTCTGACTAAGATCCATTGAGATAGATTGCCAAGATAACAATAACTGCTAATACTTTACAGTCTGATATACAATCTGTTCAATGTTTTATTGAATTGGTAATTGCTTTTATATCTAATTGAAAATCACTGCATTATGAATCCAATCAATTCATTGTCAGCTCAAAGATTCACACTCCTAATAATTAATTGAAATGGACTTTCAACCAATATAACTGCCATGATAACATGACGAAAGTTTTGGGTCATAATAAAAAATAATATAACATAGATAATCGTTCATTTGAAATGTTGTCTTGGCAACTAAATGAAATAAATAACTTTGTTAATAGTAAAATAGTTTGTAAAAGTAAATATTACAACAGTATATGAACAATAAAAATAGTACATAAATCATATAAATAGAGTCAAGCTCTATTTGTATGATAAATTGCAAATGTTGCAGCCTATGTAGAGTTGACTTATTAGGTTCCATTTGAGTTAGGTTTTGCAACAGGTTTTGTTATGTCTCTCGTGGTATGTGACCCACTGGTCCTCTATTCACAGGTAGTTATTGTGTCCCGGTGTGTGAGATTATAGCCGTTCAGGAAAAAGAAGATGACTCTCCGTGTGAAAACACTGGGAAATGGCAGAAGGTTCCTCAGAGCCCAGCGGACTCCTGCCAGCATGCTTTCACAGGTACACCAGCATAATCAGACTGTCACCTGCTTATCTGGCCTTGATAACAGGGGAATACATAGTTTGTTACTTTATCTATATTCCGTGAGTGTATTATCAAAACGATACTGATCATACAGGTCACCTTTTACCTAGTTTTTTGAATAATGTGGCATTCTCGTTTGTGTTTCTCTGCAGTGTTCTATGTAGAGAGGACGAGGCAGCACTGCTGGTGGTGCAGCAACGTGACTTTCCACTGCTCTGAACATTCCCTGTGTCTGCTCTGGGTCCAAACTATTAGGGAACAACTTGCATTGCTGAGTGCGTCTTTAATTTTTGTATAACAAACTATACATAAACTATAGCAAAAAAGACAAGTTATTGTTTATAGGTTGGTCAGCGATTTTCACACCAGTTTTGTGTACATGATTAATCATTATGTTAATAGTTTCTTGGTGTCCTTTGTGTGAATTTATTGTAAACATGTTTTTCATTCGATAATAGACTCTGAGGGATGAGTTAATTACTACCACACATTTGGTACTGTACATAATTATGGTATACATAAATAATGGACGCTAATTCCTTTTTGACACAGCATGAAAAAATCTCTCTTCCCTTTTAATCTGCATTTTAATTAGCCAAAATAGTTGGCATTTTTGTTAACCACTTTTCTTTTCTTTTTTTTTTTCGATCTGTGCTCAGTTACTCCGCCCAAAATAGAATCTCATCAAAATAAATTTAAATATCAAATATGTTCTGATTTGATTTTAGTGTTTGCTTAGAAACTGAGAAAATAATTGTAAATTTGAAATAACCCAGAATGTTTCTTACCAATCCTATGGATAGTTTTGAGGAGTTTTGGTCTTCTCTATGTTGTCACAACAGATTAAGTTTTTCAACAGCAACTTAATGAAGTAGTTTTGACAGCCTAGGAAGACTGTTGTCAAACAAAAACTCACTTTTAATGCTCTGCCCGCCTCTCATTCCGCAGCCAATCGACCGAAGAGTTTGCTAGTGTACATCAACCCCTACGGAGGAAAACAACATGGGAAGCAGATTTACGACCACAAAGTGGCCCCCATCTTTTCCCGGGCTTCCATTTCCACCGACGTGATTGGTGAGTGCCCGTCAGCCACCTGCATTAACATTTAAATAAAAAATGAGCTTTTATGCTTCGCAAATAGATCTCCGTTGGCAAATGGCCCCACCTGCCAACCCGTCCCACGAATATGATTTTATTTACAGCGCCATCTATCACAGGAGCTGGCCATAATGCAAACTGTGATAGTCGATAAACATAGGAATGCAAAGACATCCATTATTTATTAAGTTTGAGGGAGGAAGACCCTGGGTTGGTGTGAATATCGGCTGTTGGAGCTAAAGCTTACAGGCTTACTCAGCAGTTGCTTGAGGGTATTCATTTTTACGACCATGCGGACATTTCGTAAATGGTAAAGTACATGTCTGGCTGGACAAATACCATTCAAACCAAATCATTAGAGGAGCCAAACAAGATGTTCTGCCGACGGTTTAATAAGCTCCATACATCACCTTTGGCATATATCATCAACGTGATCCACAGGGCTCGGTCCTGGGTCCCATTCATTTTCAGCACATCCCTCCGAGTTACAGCTTTACATCAGTGCTGATGGTAAAGAACCGGTAATGAAATGTACCGGGGATTGTTTTTCACCGCGACTTCAGCTTCATCATTTGATGTGGCTGATTGATGGTCTCCATCAAGCCAGCAGAAAAATGCAATTTAACTGCCAGATGAACATAATGATGTTTCTCCCCCTCTGCCCAGCCTCGCTGTCATTGTCCCGTTAACAATGGCTTTTTCTCTGTTGTTTCTATAGTTACAGAGCGTGCAAATCATGCCAGGGACCACTTGAAGACAGAGGCTGATCTGAAGAAGTATGATGGGTGAGTGGGCATCCTGCTGGGAGATCACGGTCGCTGTGTGGCGACTCTTAATTTGCCCACCGAGGAATGCGTCCTCTGCAGCACAGCTCAGATTAACATTTGCACATCAATGCACATCGGTCTGGCGCTGCGGCAGATGACGGCGGGCAGCTTGGGAAATGACAACTGAAAATAGAGTGGCTTTTGGTGACAGCAACATGGATGCTGCTTTAAAGCTGGGCCAGAGGCTGTATTCACAAAACAACTCTGACTGTTGCATCTTTTCTCTACTTTTTAACATCCATTTCTGTGAACGACAGTTTAGACACAAATTTCATTCATTTGCGCTCTACCTTTCACTGAAGAAAATCTAGTTTTAAACAAATATGCATTGAAGTGATCAGTGTAGTCTCTCTCTGCAGTGTGGTGTGTGTCGGAGGTGATGGCATGTTCAGCGAGATCATGCATGGCCTCGTCTCCCATACGCAGCAAGAAGCAGGTGTGGATGAGAACTCTATGGAGGAGACCCTTATGCCGTGTGGACTTCGCATTGGCATAATTCCTGCAGGTTGGTCTATAGCAGTGTTTCCCAATCCTGGTACTGGAGCGTGTACCCAACAGATTTTGTACATGTCCCTTCACACATCCAGTTCAGTTCATGAGCACTCTATTAACAAGCTGATGAGCTGAATCGGGTGCATTAGATAAAAGAGGCATCCAAAATGTGCAGTGTTGATGATGCTCCAGGACTGAGAATCACTTGTCTACAGTCACAAATATTAAGAGTCTATACAGCCAAGACAGTTCTTCAGAATGGATTTCATTGCTTTTTCATGCACGTCACTTCCTTGGCAGTGTTCCTGGAAGCATCCGTCACTCACGGTTCCATTACAGCATTTGTGTTTGGAGATATTTCCAAGTCATTGGAAGTTTTACACCTGCACATGGGCACAGCTGCATAATAGAGGAGAACTGCAGGAGATTATAGCTCTCTTCCAAAACCTAGTAAGCTGCCTGGAAAGCATGTTTAGGCATCAGAGGTGCACTCATGATATAAAGGCTGTTCAAAAAATGGAAAGCAACATTATGTTGCCTTTGATGATACTGTGTTTTGATCAAATTTTAGTGGGCTATTCACACAGAACATGTTTGCGTCTGTGTGTGCACTATTATTTTTAAATAGTGGGTCTCTGTAAAGTTGCTTGTTGAATATCGCTGGCTGTTATAAATCATCTTGTATTTTTTTTTCAGCATCTCAGTGCTAAATGTATTTTTTTGTCTAGCTTTTTAAAGTTTTAATACATTCTGATTGTCAGCACTACATGTGTCATTTGTGGATAATCTGCAGTTAACACTGTTACCAAAAAAAAATATTAAGCAGCACAACTGTTTTCAATGTTGATAATAATAAGAATTGTTTCTTGAGTACCAAATCAGCATATTAGGAATGATATTTGACACTAATAACTGGAGTAATGACTACTAAAAATTCAGCTTTGCCTTCACAGGAATAAATAAAACTTTAAAATATATTTAGAATTGGAAACATGCATTTTATATTTTAATAGTATTTTACAATATTACTGTAAATAAATTTTAAAAACGCAGCCTTGTTAAGAGACTTCTTTCAAAAACATTAAAAAATATTATTGACCTAGAACTTTGGATGGTAGTGTATAATCGCTCTCTCTCACACATAAAGCTTCAAAATATACAACATACTGCACTTTTTAAATTGTTTAAAGCCAGAGAATGGGAAAGAAAAATACTTGTGCAAAACACGTTATTAATAAATGACCAACCTGAAAGAGCACAAGCAGAACAAATAGACTGTTGTCATGCACTGCAGAATGCCCTTCACAAGATCTCTGCCAGCAATTGATAACTTAATGACTGTGGCTTATCAAATCCTGTTTTCTGATATTACTGTTTGCCATATAAACCAGACAATGTCGAAACCTTAAGAGTCCATGTTGTTATCAGTCAAGTTATCAGCGTGTGTAATTCTGTCTATTCATGGCCTTATCTCACATTGTCCAGACATGCAAGGACTAGTGACAGTTTCTAAGAACAGCTCCTGGTCCATTATCTTGTTTCTGGATGACAACTAATCTGAGCAGCAAGGGAATTTGAGACAAATCTTTGACTTCAATGTCTAATAGATGAAAACATCTGAAACCACTGACAAAAACGAACCATGCTTTTAACATTATAATATCATGTTTATTTGAAAACGTACCATGTTAAAATGTAATAATACCATTTTGGATTAGATGTTTTAGATGCTGACTTCAAGTTTAATACACGAAAGCATCTGAAACTGCTGACAAAACCAAAAAAGTTCTATGCTATTACCATGCTATATTTAAAATAATGATGATGATAGTAATAATAATAATAATAATAGTAATAATTTTTTGAATGTATAGCATTACTGATACCATGGTTTTTTTGGACATATGCCTTTGCCATGTTTTTGGACACGTGTTTTGATAATACTATGTTTTTTTTAATTTATGCCATATTAATATAACAGGTTATTTATATTATTTAGTATCCTTTTAAAATGTTTTATTAAACGATTACATGGATCATTTGTTCCTTTTATTTATTTAATTACAATTACATGAGATTTGAATTAGTGCTGTCAAACGATTAATCGCGATTAATCGCATCCAAAATAAAAGTTTTTGTTTACATAATATAAGTGTGTGTGTACTGTGTACATTGATTATGTATATATTAATACACACACATACAGTATATATTTTGAAAATATTTACATGTATTTACATGTATATATTTATATTCATATAATTTATATGATCTATAAATATATTTAAAATATAAACATAACATATTTTTCTTAAATATATACATGCATGTGTGTGTATTAATATATACATAATAAATATACACAGCACACACACACATATATTATGTAAACAAAAACGTTTGTTTTGGATGCGATTAATCGTTTGACCGCACTAATTTTAATATTAATATTTTTTTGAATATGTAACATTACAATGCCTTTTAAATTTTTTATGATTTATGTTCTTTTTATTATTATTTAATTTAATACATATAATTCCATGGACATTTTTATCTGATGTACTTGTAATTAAATTTAAAATTAAATAATTTATTTATTTACGTAATAGTTCAATGATCTTCATTAAAGGGGCCCTATGATGCCCTTTTTTACAAGATGTATTATCTTGTAAAATCTCGGGTGTCCCCCACTACCCCATTAATCATTTATTTTTCCATGCTGTAAATGGCCCTTATGTAAATGCCTGGTATATGGATATGGTAATTATTACCATGTTATCTAACACTATCAGTGTATCATGGTACTGCCGCAGTAAGGAACTGACATTTAAGCAACATGCTGTTTATTGCTCTTTAAATGGTTTTATCATGATATATAAATTGAAAAGCATTGTATTTTACTTTTTCCACCTTAGTTTGTGGAAACAATAATGGGATCGTGAAATAATCAGTCTGGCACATTTGCAGATTGCAGTTTGTGTGTTTTTGCTATTATATAAGCAATTTGAGGAAGAGGAATTAGATTACCAGACAGCATATAAGAGACAGAAAGAGGGCTGAACTCATCTGAAATCTCATCTCTCTATATAACAGTGCCCTGCAATGCTTCAGCTACAATCATTACAAGATCGAAAAAACTTTCTTATTCTCACAAGGGCTGAATAGAGCAAAAACTCCATTGGCTTGTGATGTTTGGTTAGCGTTCACAATTGAAGGTTAGATTGCAGCTGCCCCCGTATGCCACCAAAATTGAAAATGAAAGTGTAATTTTCATACGTTAACCTTCGGAGTGAATTATGAGAGATAGATTTAGGCCATTTCTGAACCCCTGACCCATGAAATGTGTTTTTGAAACAGGTTCGACTGACTGTATATGCTACGCCACGGTTGGCTCAAATGACCCTGTCACTTCAGCACTGCACATCATTGTGGGTAAGTACTCATCTCCATATCTGCAGTATGATAAAGCATATCTGGCTATGTATGTGCGTATGTTTATTTATGCTTATGTAAATTTCTCTTTAGTATTTTCAGGCTAGGACTGAGTGCTATCCCAGTATATTTATTTATTTATTGTTCAGCAAGGGCATTTACTACAGTTACTACTTTTCTTTGGATGTCATGGCATGACCATACCTTAACCAGGGTAAAATCACTGTAACTTACAGCTTTGAGTGACATATTGCATAAATAAAGCATAACACCAAAATGGAAAATGTTTACTGTGCTACTTTTGCAGAGACGGATATCTAATTTTGCTGCAATATGCACTATTCTTAAGGCCCGTTCACACCAAGGACGATAACTATAAAGATAACGATAAAGATATAGTTCTTAAAATCGTTCTCAATATTAAAGAATAGCAGAGTCCACACCACAACTATAATGATAAAGACAAAGAGAAACGATATCGTTGGAATCACTTTCAAAACGATTTTTTTCTCCAGCTGATGAACGATAAAAAATTGGCAGCCAATCAGAATCCATCCTGCTGTAATGAGCTTGAGAATTTAAAGCGGCAGACGTGCGTGCGCTTAGAATAAACAGACGATATCGTCCGCTGGTGTGGACGCTAATATCGTTATCTTTATAGTTATCGTTCTTGGTTTGAACAGGGCTTTATATGTGGTGTCCTAGCACAGGATTCTGATGTTATCAGCTTGTGTTTTCTGAAATCCATCCTGGCTTTTTCTGCAGGTGATTCTCAGCCAATGGACGTCTGCTCGGTGCACAATGAAGACCGCTTCCTGCGCTACTCTGTGTCACTACTGGGTTACGGGTTCTACGGAGATGTGCTGACAGACAGCGAGAGGAAGCGCTGGATGGGCCCGGCCCGTTACGATATCTCAGGTACACAGGAATCTGCAATTTTGGATGGAAATTCTTATTTTGTTTTTGAATTATTTTATTCATTTATTTATTTTTACAGGTGTTAAAACTTTTCTGTCACATCGCTACTATGAGGGAACTGTGTCCTTCTTACCTGCTGAAGGGAACTTGGGAACTCCCAGAGACAAAATGCAGTGCCGAACTGGGTAAATGCTGTTCTGTATTTTTTGTATTAGGGATGCACCGAATGTTCAGCAACCGAAATTGTTCGGCCGAAAATAGCAAAAAAAGCTAGTTTCCTAACTTATTAATTTTAAGTTAAATTGTGCTTTGTTGGTGTAGTGTCTTCTAGAATGTTAAAAAATATTCAGGTGTTAAGTAAATATTTTTAAATTGTTGTTTTGTAATTGATTTTTTCTTTGAAAAGCTAGACAAAACAGTAAAAAGCACATTTTGGCTATTTAATTTATGCAGTTGCAAAAAATTGGCAAAATATATGGGGAAAACAATGCGAAAAACCATATTCGGCCTTCGGCCCAGTGTTTCATTTTGTTCGGCTTCGGCCAAGAATTTTCATTTCGGTGCATCCCTATTTTGTATAGTCAAAATAATATGAATCTTGACTGAAACATGACTGAACGTGTCGTATACTTAATCATTTAATCCATCATCTCATGTATTTTAATTATATTGTAAACTAGAACTAGATGATATTTACACTCTACATTTGGAAGTCAGTAGGATTTTTTTAATGTTTTTGAAGGAAGTCTCATGCTCAACCAGGCAAAATGTATTTAAACAAAAATACAATAAAATCTGTAATATTGTGAAATATTATTACAATCTAAAATAGCTGTTTTCTATTTTAATATATTTTAAAATGTAATTTAATCCTGTGATGGCAAAGCGGAATTTTCAGCAGATATTACTCCAGTCTTCAGTGTCACATGATCCTTCAGAAATCATTGTAATATTCTGATGCTCAATAAATATTTCTTATTATTATCAATGTTAAAACAGTTGTGCTGGTTAAAACTTTTCTGTCACATCGCTACTATGAGGGAACTGTGTCCTTCTTACCTGCTGAAGGGAACTTGGGAACTCCCAGAGACAAAATGCAGTGCCGAACTGGGTAAATGCTGTTCTGTATTTTTTGTATTAGGGATGCACCGAATGTTCAGCAACCGAAATTGTTCGGCCGAAAATAGCAAAAAAAGCTAGTTTCCTAACTTATTAATTTTAAGTTAAATTGTGCTTTGTTGGTGTAGTGTCTTCTAGAATGTTAAAAAATATTCAGGTGTTAAGTAAATATTTTTAAATTGTTGTTTTGTAATTGATTTTTTCTTTGAAAAGCTAGACAAAACAGTAAAAAGCACATTTTGGCTATTTAATTTATGCAGTTGCAAAAAATTGGCAAAATATATGGGGAAAACAATGCGAAAAACCATATTCGGCCTTCGGCCCAGTGTTTCATTTTGTTCGGCTTCGGCCAAGAATTTTCATTTCGGTGCATCCCTATTTTGTATAGTCAAAATAATATGAATCTTGACTGAAACATGACTGAACGTGTCGTATACTTAATCATTTAATCCATCATCTCATGTATTTTAATTATATTGTAAACTAGAACTAGATGATATTTACACTCTACATTTGGAAGTCAGTAGGATTTTTTTAATGTTTTTGAAGGAAGTCTCATGCTCAACCAGGCAAAATGTATTTAAACAAAAATACAATAAAATCTGTAATATTGTGAAATATTATTACAATCTAAAATAGCTGTTTTCTATTTTAATATATTTTAAAATGTAATTTAATCCTGTGATGGCAAAGCGGAATTTTCAGCAGATATTACTCCAGTCTTCAGTGTCACATGATCCTTCAGAAATCATTGTAATATTCTGATTTGCTGCTCAAGAAATATTTAATATTATTATAATTTATTATTATAATTATTATCATCAAAAAATTTTAAAACAGTTGTTCTGCTTAATGCTTTTGTGGAAACCATAATAGTTTTTTTTTTTTTTTTTGGATGAATAGAAAGTAACTTTGTTTTGCTTTTATTCTAAACATGATTTGTTTATCTTCTGCCTTTTTTCTCTTTTATAAAATTACTAGATTTTTGCTCTATGGAGATGTTATATTCACAACAGCTATTGATGAGTTTTACCTTAGGAAAAACCTGTGGATACAGTGATGTACATGTAAAAAGTTCAAAAATATAATTTTTTTTTCTGTCACTATCATTGTCCTTAGCCTCAGATGTTGCCTTCAAATACGTGTTGATACCTTTTTCGTGTCTCTTTTTTTCTTTATTTTTCCTGAGGATTCATTTCCATGATCTTAATAGAAAGTTTAAATAGAAATCTTTTGTAGCATTATAAAAATCTTTACTGTCACTTTTAATACATTTAATGCATCGTTGCTGAATAAAAGTATTATTTTCTTAGTTAAAAAAAAAAAAACCCTTACTGACCCCAAACCTATTCACAATATATTCAAGATGTAACATATAAATTACAATGTAAATATTTTAATAAAAGGAATAGATATAATGGTCCCATTTTTAAAGCATGCCTTGATTATTTTTAAACTAGATTTTTTACTTATTTGTGTTAAACAGATATATAGCTATGTTTCTCACCTCTATTGTTAACGTGTTTCTGTCTTGCAGGTGTAGTGTCTGTCGGCAATCCTCTTCTGACAAACTGGTCAGCAAAAATGAAGACAGCGTTTCTGATGCTGGTGAGGAGCATTTGGGAATACTCTCTATGCCAGTGTTAAACTGAGCTCGGGCATTGACAGGAAGTCTCATATCTGCCCTGTGGTAAATGCGCCCAACCTCAGTACAGGCCAACAAAGTGCATTTCCAGCCATGATTTGTAATGCCCCCATCTGTCGGCTCGACTGGCACGCTGTTTGTGAACATTAGGCCAAATGGTTCAAGCTGCCGCCCGGCTGATCATTTAGAGAGTGCACACACACACACACACACACACAGCATATTATCTCTGCCTCTCAGCACCCTCAGAACAACTGGCACCTCCGTTACCCAGCATTCTGTGTGTTTACCCTGAGCACTGATAAGTGCTGTTTACAGAGAAACACTCTCTGCCCTCACAATCCCAAATTGGCATTTGTGCATGATGATTTCCTGAACGCTTTTAGACCGCGTGACATAAATAGAGTCTTGTGGGAAGAATAAGGGGAAGAATGATGTAAACGGGAAAGGGAGTCGAGGGCCCTTCATCAGTGAGAGAGCACCACAGCTATACTTGCTTTGAGATTTACAATCACCTGGCTTCTTTCATTTTTCCAGTTTATAGCAACACTGATTTTCGAAGTTGTAAATAAAATAAATCTTGTAAGGTCTACAAGGAAGTACTATTTCAGTATTTATTATTTCACTTCAAAATTGTATGTTTAACTCAATGCAGGGTTTCCGCGGGTCTTAAAAAGTCTTAAATTGTACAAGAAAGTCTTAATTATGATTTCAAGAGGTCTTAAATTTGGGGACGGAAAGACCAGAATTGCGATATGGCTGAATGTGACGATTAAACTTCAAAAGGCTAACGTTATGATTTCATAAAAATCTAATAGGGGTGTGCGATATGCATGGTCTGCGATAATATCGTAATTGTTGTTTTAACGATGTGCGATTTGATATTATCTAGTATATCACGAAAAGCAAACAAAACACCTAGCAGGTTAGACTAGTGTACGTGCGCATTTATAGTGCGTTCTTTCACTGCATGAATCAGTCTATTAAAATGCATTTAGAAATATATAATTCAAGATATGGGGCAGAAAATGTATATATTTATATAATTTCATATAGTTGATATCACACGAAGAGTGCGTTTTTTTTCTCCAAAAGTCAGCATGATTACAAATGTGATATTGATTTTATACAACAGTTCAATAAACAAGAAGTTAATATTAAGAGACTTATGTTTTAGACACTATATTGCCTGTTTTTGCTCTAGTTCTCCAACAAAAATAATTTCAAACACAGCCACAGCGCTGTTTTGCGTCTCTGAGCAACAGGATGGTGTTTCGTTCCTGAATGAATCAAACGTTTAAATGATTCGGTTCAA